CCCACTCGGTAATCGTAACAGTTTACTTTCGCCTTCGAGTTCCGCCGGATTTCGAGCCAGACCCGCGGCTGTCTCCCTCGTTGTCGAAGTCATTTCCGGCGTGAAGGTCGAGCTCATACCTTTCTTCCGGTTTTTCTCGTCCAGTCACGTGATTCTGGGTTGCAGAGGGCTGACGAGATTCGTCCGTTCCCCCAGTGTCAGTCGTCACAGGTGCGGTCTTCATGACCTTCAGCTTTACCGTCTTGATGTCTTTCGACATATCAATCTCTCGACGGTGGCCGATTGTCCATTTCAAAAACTCGTCGACATGGTCGTACTCGTCATGGGCCAAGCCATATTGATAAGCGTCGGTGTGGTTTTTGATGGCCCGAAGGCAGTGAGCAACTTCCTGGGCTGCGAGCCAGTCATTCGGCGGCAGTCCGAGTTGGAATACAATCGGCCGCAGGTTCGTTGGGAGTGTCCGATTGCGATCGGCCGACCATAATGTCCAATGAGAAACGTGGTGTCCCAAACGTGCAGCCAATGCGTATTGCAGCGCTGCCTCACGTGTCCAGCCGTTCTGGATTTCCTCGCCCGTTACTGGTTTGTCCAGTAGACCGACCGCTGCTCTGGCGGCAACATAGGTCATGGCGCAGTGAGCTCCAGGGTGAACAAACTGATACACGTACTTCACCCTGTCTTTCGGGCAGATATTAATGGGAAGCTGTGATAACTGCATCCAGCTCGGCGCTACCATAGGGAGGTCCATTCCGCTTTCATCCAGCGCACAAGGGAGACCGCACCCGCGCTTTGCGCAGAAATGTTCGGCCTTGTAGTCGGTGAACGTCATGTTGGCATACTTTTTATAAGCAAAAAACTTTGCGTATCCGGTCACGTCCAACACTTGCTGCAGATTCAGTAGCAATTCTTCGATTTTTGGCGTGGCAGTGACGGAAAAGTTTAGCCGTCCACGGATGGTTTCAGCCAGCTGTCGTGGAGCTGCGATGCGAAAAGTCGGGGCACTCGCATCCCCGTCGGTTTCCGCTACATCATCATCGCTCATATCCATCATTTCTGGCCCGCGTACGGCCGTGGGAATTTCCACACTGATGTTGTGGGCTTCTGATTTCACACGCCGCGCGTTCTTTTGTGAACGCTCTGTATCCACAACAAGGCTACCGTCACGCTTTGCCGATCGTCCCGAGGAGCCAGAGGAACTTCCGTCCCGATTCTGCTGGCTACTATGAGCACTCTGCGCCAGTGCTTTACGCTCATCAGCAAACGCGCAGCCCAGCAAACATGGCGCGGTGTACAGGCCTGGTGCCAGTTGCTGCATCTGTCCGGTTCTCTGACGGCTAATATGTTGGCGCGCGTCTTCCGGGCTCCGATTACGACCGATCGGGTGGCGGGCATCTGTCGGGGCCAAGACATCGGAGTTCCGCGAATGAGACGGTTGTTGCCCACCTGGGCCCTGAGTGTAATAGTACATAGCACTCATTTTCAGTGGGCCGGTATATTCGTCCGAGGATCCGTAGTCTCGCGGCGGAGAAGGCGCTCTGGGTCGCGTGAACGGCTTCTTAAAGGGCTCAATCCCAGAAAGGCGTGCCACCGGCGCCAGCATGCTTGATGAAGATGGGCCACTGTTTCCACTCGCCATCGCCTGAAACTTCTGCAGTGTCTCGCGGCGTTTCTGTGGCGGTTCACACAATGCTCGTTCGATCTCTTCGATAGCTTTCATTCCGGCATGCTGAGCCGCAAGGTCGCGCGGCTTCATCTGCATGTTCCGATGGATCTTTTCGATGAATCATTGCAGTAGGACGCTATCCATGTCATCTTGTAGAAGGCTGGCCATCAGCGCTTCGTCCGGCGGCTTCAGAGTGGACAGTGCCGGGACTTGGAACTGCATGTGACTGGAGCCAGCCCGATTGCCAACAATCTGGTCATACGTGGCCGGCGAAAGTGGGAACTTTTCCCAACCTCCTTCTTTGCGGGCCGCACGTTCCATAGCCAAGTCGCACAATCGCGACTGCTGTGGCTTCATCAGTTTCTGGAACTCGTCGTTCTTGACCAGTTTCAAGTAGGCGTCGGGGTTCCCACGGACGGCTTCATAGTACATGGCGTCCCGTTTGCTGTCACGGTTGTTCTCCCGCGCGGTGAAGCATTTCATGCATGGGAACTTCTCACCGTAGCGGGCATTCCGGCTGTTATCTCGACAGGCGGCACAGTTCCGGTCGTGCAATCGTTCGGGGTTCATTTCACACTGCAAACATAATAAACATTTTTGCAACTTTGGTCATAGATATTTTGCTATAGACTTAATGTTATAGTTCCCATAGTATTTTGTCTGGCTGTTTTGTACGGTTGGCTACGGTAAGAATATTTTGTCTTCCGTGTTTCAATTTGGTAATGTTGTGACCAGAGTATTTTGCCTAGTCAGTCGTGGGAAAATCATCGGCCAACACGATAACGTGGAGTTTTGCCTTCCTTCTGCGGCGGCAACAGCTCTCCGTCATTTTCCATAAGCTTTAGCGTATGTTCAATGCGGATTTCCAAATCCCGGTAATCATCTGCGCCTGGGGAATCGGAGCAGAACATCTGGTAATGCCATACCAGGTACTGCAGTATTTCGCGCATAGTTGCACCATCTGGATGACCGATAGAGCGGATAGCCATTCTTGTAAAATGCATCCAGTCTTCGCCTGACGAAAATCGAGGACCTGCTTCTATGGTTTTCGGTGCAAGCTCGTAATAAGCTTCCGTATTTTCGTTATACCGTCGCACGATCCAGTGATTCTCGTATGCGCGGTTCAGATAGTCGCTGACAATCGCCTTATTCGGAGGTTTCGCTCGGGGTTGTGCTTGCCGCATCTCCTTAACAATGTTGGAAACCGTGGGATATGTTAGAACTTCTCTTGCTCTTTTTGCCGAACCATTTGAGTGACCAGATCATCGATTGTCTCCCTGGTCCACTGCCAGAACAGATGGTCGAAGTCGCTTTTCGTCGACTTTACCGCCGCGGGTCGAGATTTTCTCGGTGTTTCCTCGGGGCTGCTACTCTGTTCACTTCGTGACGATGTCGACCGGTCAGGGCCTGCCGAGGTGCTGGGCTCTTCTGCCGAACCAGACAATCGGGACTTATTTGGGTCCCGGTCTGTGTCCGTGTTACGCTTCGCACCAGTTTGTCTGGCGGGAGCGTTTTTCGTTTCAGTTACTCTGCTGGGACCGTGAATGTCTTCATTGTAGCTCTCGCGGTTGTGCATGCTCTTTGCCACTTCGGAAGGGATGAACTCGTTCATCGTATAACGAATGCTGAATCCACGGTTGACATTCGTTGTGCAATACAACTGCTCTTTCACAAGGCACTGAAGAATCTTCTGGGATCCTGTCTGTATGGTCTTCAGGTTCCCACGCCCATTCTCATATACTGCATTTCTGAAACGCGCTATCTGAAGCAACGTCGATCCACGGGGGTTGGCCGATTCTTGGATAGTTCTTTCCACTTGCAGTCTGGCGTCGTCTTGATTTTTACTGATGAGGTTCCCTTTTTGTTGGGAACTTCAGTTGCGGTTTGGGATTCCACCCTTCGTGGTACACAATGAAGTCTCCATGATTCAATCCGTGTTCAACGACACGACTAAACATGGCGAGTGATAGCTGATATTCTACGCTGCGTAAGTACGCCTTGAGTTCTTCTCTCAAGGGAACATTAAGCGGGACTTTTCCGTATTTGGCCTTCGTGATCTTTGACTTGACGCTTTTAATCATTGCGCTCATGTCGAAGATATCCAAGAGGGGGTCGGGATTTTCTTTCTTCGGTTTGATGTCTTCCCCGACCGGCAATTCTTCATCGACTACTCTGTCGAAACAGTCGTCTGCGGCCTGCGCACCCGAAAGATTTTGTCCGATCGCTTTGGTCGTCTTACTGACAGTTGGACGTTTCGCAACGCTTTCCGAGGAGGCAGTCGTCCTACTGGCGCTGGACTAGCTGTATTCCTTTGGGGTTTCGCGTTTTTCGTCATCGTCGTCAGGGGAAGACTCGAAGCGGTCCGCTCGCACAGACTTCGGTGTGGCAGCTTTGCTATCGTCTGCCTCCGGCTCCAAAGCTTCGGTCTGCATAGCGTCGATTTCTTCAGCTGGTTCGCAGTCTTCCTCGTTTGGCGGATACCAAGTGCTGGTTTTGACCCATGCTGATACACGTTTTGGCCGTTTTATCTTGTCAACCAAAATTCGGCCTTGCTGGTTGGCTTCGTAGCATTTTGCCAGCTTTTCGAGATCATGGGAACTGCTCGTACCGTGGTCAATTCTCAATGCAGGTGGAGTTTTTGTCTCGCTCGCCCGGTCGTTCACGGGCTGCTGGTCACAATTCGGCCGTGGTGAGATCCGCGACTTAGTGAAACATTCGGTCGACTGTTCGGTTCCCACGGTATCCACGGTTTTTCCCACGGTCGAAAGCGGTGAAGAATCTATGTCCATTGCACCTTCGTATACGCTCTGAGAACTACGTTCTTTCGGTGACGCCGGTGAGTAATAATCATTCGGCCGATCGGTTCTCACGGGACTGGGGCTCTGCACGGGGGTTCTGGTCGGCGGTTCAGTCGAATATTCGGTCGACTGTTCGCTTCTCATGGGGCTGGGGCTTTTTCCCACGTTCCCGGCCGCATCATCTTGAGGCTCTGGCGTAACAGTTTCGTACTGATGGTCCAGTAACGGGTGTGAGTCATTTACCAGTTCGTTTGCCACGTCTCTATTGTGGTCCGGCTGTTGAGTTTCGCTTGGAGTGATGGTCGCCGATTGCGGTACTGGGACCAATCCTGGCCTCGGCGATCGTGGGAATTCCGCCACGTACTCGCTCTGTCGCGGCGTCGGTGGCCGCGGGCTGAAGTTTGGCCGTGGGAACTGCGGTGGCATCCATACTGGAGCGGGCTGATTACCAATCAGTCCTTCTGTGCCCGGCGGCTGTGGCTCACCGCTGGTTCCTGGTGTTGGCCCTCGCGGGCTGGAATTCGGCCGCGGCGATCGTAATGGCGCTGGTGCCAGGGCCGACTGAATGGATATCGGTCTTTCTGTTCCAGGCGGTAACGGTTCACCGTTCTGTGTCCGCTCCGGCCCTGATGGGCTGAAGACTGGGCGCGGCGATCTTAACGGAGAGATTGCCGAGGCTGACCGGATACTAACTGGTCTTTCTGTGCCCGGCGGCAACGGTTCACCGCTGTTTCCTGGCTGATCGCCTTGATGAGCCTGGCCAGAGATATTCGGCTCTAGCTTGGGAAACGGCGGTGCCTGATGTGCCGCCATGATTTGCGGCTGCATCATTAGCTGATACAGTGGTGGTGCTTGTGGGAACATCTGGGGCGTCATCGCCGGCGGCGGGTAGTACGCAGCCATTTGTTGCGGAAAAGCCGTCCAATTTGGCAGGACGGACATCACACCCGACATGTTGCCCTGCTGAAACTGCTGATTAGGCACATAAAAACCGGGATGTCCTGGAAACATCATCTTTAAATTGTCAGTTAAATTCCTGGTAATTTTGGTATCACATTTAATAGAATTTTGGTAAATTATTAAGATTAAGTTTCCGTCTTTTTTATTTTGAATTTTTCCTTGGAATTTGGAAACTTTTTTGTAAATTTTGTCAGTTCAAACGTAATAATATCCCGTGTTTAGGTGATCCATACTTCGGTGTGGGCCGGGCAGAAGCGTCTGGGTCAGTTAGTCAAGTGGAAGACGGCCGAGGAAGTGGCGGCGCTGATCCGCTCGCTGCCGGTGGAGGAGCAGCCCGAGCAGATCATCGTGACGCGCACGGGCGTGCTGGACCCGTTGGAAGTGCATCTTCTGGACTTCCCCAACGTATGTCATCAAGGGCAGTGAACTGCAGCTGCCCTTTCAGTCGGTGCTGAAGGTGGAGCAGCTGGGCGACATGGTGCTGAGGGCCACCGAGCTGCAGATGGTCTTGTTCAACCTCTACGACGACTGGCTGAAGAACATCTCCTCCTACACCGCCTTTTCGCGTTTGGTCCTGATTTTACGCGCGCTGCATGTCAACACGGAGCGGACCAAGGTGGTGCTCAAGCCGGACAAGACCACCATCACCGAGCCGCACATCTGGCCCACGCTCACCGACGAACAATGGATCAAGGTCGTTGCATAAGCATTTTATAATATTATTGCTGATTATTTTCCGTATTTGTTTTTGTATATTTACTTTCTTATTATTTATCATGATATCCTGATGCATTAATGTATGTAAATCAATGTGAAATTTTGTGCAGGTGGAAGTGGCGTTGAACGACGTGATTGTGGCTGATTACGGGAAGAAGAACGGGAACGTGGCCTCGCTGACGCAGTCGGAGATCCGCGACATCATCCTCGGCATGGAGATCTCCGCCTCCTCGGCGCAGCGCCAGCAGATTGCCGAGATCGAGAAGCAGACGCGCGAGCAGTCCAATTTAACCGCTGTCGCAACGAAGACCACCACGAAGTCCGGCGACGCCATCGTGACGACGACGACGTCCAACTACGAGACGCAGTGGTTCTCCTCGCGCGCCGAGTGGCGCGTCCGCGCCATCGGTGCGGACGCGTTTTGTTTGCTTTTCACTTATTGAAACAGTTAACAAAAATAAATGAACTGAAAACTTAAAAACTACGAATTTCAACGCTTCCCGTGGTGAACAAATGGCAGCCTTCCAGTGTGCAACGTGATTTTGCTCTGCTGCGAATTTTTTTGGGAAGTTCTCTTCAAATTCAGTTTACCGATTAAAAACCAACTCTTTCTACTTGGGTGCTTAATAAAAAGGAAGAACAAAGTGTAGAAAGCATTTTGCATGAATATCAGGCCGATCTACATCAGAGTGAGACGAACCCACGGGCTGCGCCTGCGCGGCACACAAGAAACTCCGTATAATTACACCACAGACGAGTGCGATTGTTACTCTATCGGCAACTTAATTTTTATCCATCGTTTGATAGTGCGGATGGCTACGCCCAAGTAATTCGCGACCCATTGCATGGATCCGCGATACTGGCGAACTAATGCGGCCGTCTCAGTTCGTTCAGCGAACGAATAACGCTTCCCGCGTGGTTTGGGAGACGGGAGCGTTGCCTTGAACATCTCGATCGGGAATGTTTCGCCTTTCTTAGGCCGTCCGCGCCAACTGCTAGCCGGCTTCTTTCCGTCGGCTGCCCCCTGTTAAACGACTAGCATCAGACCAGTGACAATGTCAATACCATATGTGCGGCCACACCTTCAAGCCGGCGTCGGCGATGTTGTGGTCGGACTTGTAGGAGTTCATATCCAGCGGGAGACCCCCGGCGATCAACCGGATACCGTTGGCCGTGACAGCCAGCGTGCACTTAAATTGTGCCACCAGAGCGCCGTCCTTCTCGTACCCCACAGGGAACGGCGTCAGCAGGCCGTGGCTGACGCACTCCGCGATGACCGGTCGGGCCGCCTTGTGGTTACGTACGTTGCGCAGATGGAAACACAGCGTCCCGTACTGTTCGCTCGTCTGTTCCAAAAAATCTGAAAAATGTTTGAAATCACAACCGAGAAAGCACACCGCAACAGCTTCTCCAGCTATCCAGAAGAATCGTATTGTTGACAAACTGCGCTACATACTACAGTGTGGTCAGGTTTAACTGGAGCGCACTACAGTGACAATGTGCAGTAACCGCAGCTCACCTTTGACGGGTTTCTTCATGCGAAGCGGGTAGGCGAGGTCGTTAAGGTGGTGGATGGTGGTGCGCGCCGTAGCTTCCTGGGCCTTCCCTTCGCCCGTGCTGACCAGTATGTCCAGCGCGTAGACTTCGTTGACAGCGAACTCTGACTTCTCGTGCTCACGTCTACCACCAAAGCAGTATGCTCGACATGGCGCACAAGGATAAATCAATACCATTTAGAGAAAAATTACAGAAACAATAACTGTAGAAAATGCAGACAATAACAAAAAACTCCGTACTTTTGGGCGCTGTTGGGATTCAGGATAATGCTCTTGCCGCCTTCGAACTGGTTGCGGCCCAGCTGATGGGAGAGCATGCCCTCGATGGGCTTGCACTGGAACGCCTCCGCCGCCTTTTGGATCACCTCCGTCACTTTGAAGTTCTGCCAAGACCAGACATACCTTTTCAACTAAGCTACGGATTGCGATGACAACTACAACACGCACATCAACCCCGGCCTTGATCAGCCGCATGGAGGCGTCCAGGGCCGCGTACGCCGCCCGGACCACGTCCGCTTTCCGTCCGCTCGCTGGCTTCTTCTGCAATCACCCACAATTCCCTTCTTGCATCACTTCTTTCGCAAAATATTTAGCACTTTCAAGTCATCAAGTATAGTAAGTGCTAACATTTAAACAACAAAATAATGATTTACATATTATTTTTTATCATTTCATTTGTATTTGAATTGTTATTACCTGTTCCAGAAGTCGGCCAACGCACCGGTACAAAATTAAAATTAAAATTATTATAAAATAATTAGACGAAGATGCCACGTAAATTACGATAAATGCAAAGATGCAACATTTAAAGAAAAAGCGCGATAAAACCCAGCAACTCGATAAAACGCGCGATAAAACCCAGCAAACCTTCGTCGCGCCAACCACATGTGAATATCCGACACAGGCGATGTATCCGTCAATGTGCACGGCCAAATCACTGCAGGAAGAAAGCAGTGCTCAATAACTGGTCAAAACCACAATCAAGATCCTTCATACATTTTGATGAGGTCCCCGTTCTTCAGCTTGACGTCCGTGTCGTTTTCGAGGGGCGAAAAGTGGCAGACGCAGTTGTTGACGCTCATGCACGCGGGAAAGGCTACACCTGTCAACGCAGTGCACTGAAGGCAAGCGAAGCAGAGTGCAGCGAACCTAGCTCCTACCTTTACGCAGATCTCCAGTTTCAATGGACGACGTCAACCAGACGATCATCTTGTCAGCTTCTTCGCATAATTCTCGCACGGAATGACCTGCCGCGCATCTCTCTACCACTCGCTGCGCGACTTCTGCAAGCAACGACACACTTGCAATTGTCTGTCTCATCAAAACATCATCCAAAGCAGCACAGATCAGACCACATAATCCCCAGTTCCGCGCGACTGCAGTGTTCCCCATACGGCAACGCGGCGCGGATGGGCGACAATAGGGAGATGCGGAACGTGCGCTCACTTACTGTCTGCGATTTTCCCAGCAACTTTGTACTTGTTCAGCACCGCCACATTCGCCACGCTGCATTCTTCGGGCTCGTCGAAACTCGACTCGGACGACGAGGACATTTTCAAGAGAACGAGAGTACATCTACTGTTCTACAACAGGAGAAAGAGGAATTCTCGAAACCTGCAGCACTCCGTACCTAATTTTACAACCGCAGGCCTTGATCAAGGAATTAAAATAGAAATCCGACTTCTTCGTGATGAATCAGCGTCAAATTTTCGAGCAGCAGAAGTGCTCGTTCCGCTTCCACGCAGACGCTGCGGCTGGAATCCCATTGGCTACGCGTCCATTACCAAATACCAGCCAGCGGTAGCAGGTAACGCTCCGCCGACTGCGGTGGCTGTATTCGCTGTCGCGCTGCGAAATGACCACCGCTTGCTTCCCCATGTGCTGTCCGCGTACCCGGCCGCCGTGTTGCTGCTTGTCACGTATTACAAATACTGTAGGTATATTTAATACGACAATAACGCTGGCCAGTCAGTATGAATACTGAGTACCAAAACAGCAGGAAATACAGCTACCACAAACAACTGTTGTTGGACGGATTTCGGATAGCCAGAGCATTTCAGGTAAACGCCCAGTGTAGAAGGCTTATCATCCGTCCCTTTAGTCACTTTCACCAGAATACTCCTGCCAGATGATACATTTGACTGAAGTCCTCGTTAAACCACATTATTACCGTACGACAACCGTAGATTCGCATACCACAACCGACACCAAACTCACCAAAGCAGCTTTCCGACTTTAGTGGGTTTGCTGCGCACTAATGTTTCCGATAAAATCCTTACATCCGGAACCGTATGGTTGACGATGCCTTCTGCGCGTACCTCTAGAAACACCGACAAGTTCTACAATACCGTTGCAGTCTACGGATAAACGACAAAAGGGCATGCATTGTTACGTGGGTACTTTGTCGGGATTCCGTAGGGAACGGCAACTCCGGTTTGGCAGTAGCGTGTTTCTAGCGGTATATGTCCCATCCTTCCGATTGCAGCAACAAACCACTCTGCAGAACCATAGTATTTCATCGAACATTTCGGATTGTTTTAAAGAGGAAAATGTCTGCCTCATTAAATACTAATCGATGGGTGCGAAGAGCGCACCTTCACGGGTCCGTCGAGCAACTGGGCATCGGTCAAGAGCGGAAATCGGATGAAAAAGAACGCCTGGCCCAGTACGGAGGAAACGCCCATGTCTTTTTCCTTGCACAAGTTTGCGGCCCACATGACGAGAGACGGTTGTTTGGACAAGATGAGCTACGCACCATTCTACAACGGGATTCGTTGACCGCCAGCGAAGACATCATATGGTCGTCGGTTGACAAGTACAAGATTTTCATTCCCCTCCTGATGGCAAAAAACCGCGAGCCCGTTATCTTTTTAACAGCTTGTTTTCGGCAGGTGGGCCACCAACTTGTGCAAGCAGAAGCATATGGAAACTTCCTCCGCCAACCGACGTGAAATGCTGGGCCCGATGCTGTTCCTCATTCGGTTTCCGCTCTTGACCGATACTCAACTGCTGGATGGACCCGTGCAGGTGCGGTATTTGCAGCGATTGATATTTGGTTCAGATTGGTAATGGATCATATCAAGCACTGGCTTGCTTTGGCAGCTTCTGAGTCTGACGCAGATTTTGTATAGTGCAGGCAAAAATATGGATTCCTAACATGAGAAGCATTTTAAATCAACTGGGCTTTTTTTCCAGACTGGATTGCTTCTGCAGTCCTAGGCATGGGATATCTACCACTACAAGCACGCTGACGTCAAACCGCCGCTGCCGTTCCCTACGGAGATCAGTGTTAGCGCGTTCGTTTTTCTTCGAAAACTGTAGCCGCAATTTCCGATTGCTGTTTGTAGATGTGGATATTGCGTCATTAACTACACGATTCCGGATATCAGAAAGTTGGTGGAGACAACCAGCGATACCGTAACAGTCGGAAAGCTGCTTTGGTGAGAGAACCGCCTAGTGGAATACCAGCAAGAAAAGCAGGCGAAGAATATGGCATACTGACACCAGTGAACTGCGTTGTTTTGCAGGAGTTTACGTGCTAAGAAGGAAGCTCATAATGCGTCTGCCTATCTTGGCGTCTCGCTGCGATGTTCTGGATGTCCGGAATCGGCTTCCTGGACGTGCTGGGTTAAAGGAGACCTGCTTCTGCTGCCATGGAAACTGGGAGTTGCACCAGTTAAGAAAGGTGTGTGTTTATTCCGTTACTGCAGCCTCAGATAACCCATCATTCTAATCTCGAAGCAAATACGAATTCCTAATTTTGCAGAGAATATAAGTTTTCTTCAACACAGAGAATGCTAGTTGGGGACATACTAAGTTTATTTCTATGAAGGTAAGAGTTTTGTACAGAAAAAAACTTGGGTGCGCATCGTTCACGTAGCTGTATTTTTCAGGAGCTCCTGGATTCGGCAAAGGGATACACCAATCCCAGTGACTTTTCTGTGAAACTGCAAATTCGGTTGACCTCCGTCTCCAGTCATTTCTTCAGGAAGTGATTACCCGTAATGAGGCAGTAGAGGGTTTTACGAATTCACCATCTGTAGTCCAACGAAATTTGTATTAACAGAAATTGCTTAAGTATTGCTCAATTAATTGCTCTTCTAAAAATTGTAGCGGTGTGATGCTTTCGTTTCTGGAAGTCGTTGTTGGTAGTCGTTGTCCCTCTGAGCCAGTTCTTTTTTGGTTAATTGATGTACAGCTGGTTACTCGTTAAACTAGCCTGTTGGTAGTCGTTGTCCCCCTGAACCTGTTCTTGTGGTTTATACCGAATCATTGTCAGATATAAGGCTATGGCTATTTTGCCGCAGTTTTCTCCTGTGCGTCAAAATAGCCTTTTGCTATTTTGCCGCACACTGCGTTAAAATAGCCTTTAGCTATTTTGCCGCACCATGGTCGGCCGAATAGCCTTTCACTATTTGGCCGCACAGTGCGCGAAAATAGCCTTTTGCTATTTTGCCGCAGTATGACCGGCAAAATAGCCTTTCGCTATTTTACCACTGCACGGACTACGGAGCACGGTCTATCGCTACACTTTATAGTAGAGCAGCGGCTATAAGCCTAAGGTTCTTATGTGCTGAGGCCACCGCTTACGAAATTGTGTACTTTGTATTACGCTCTCAGCTGTTGTTTGTTTGAAATATTGTGAATCGTTTGGCGTTTCAGGAAGTGCTTGTCAAAATCAATTTTTGTGGTGCAGTAAAAGTGATCAGTGGTAGGGATCTGTTAATGCACATTTCTAAGACGGTTTTTTCAGATATATGGAGAGCGGAAACTGTTCGTGCACATTAGTATTTCTCAGAGATACAAAAATGTGAATTAAGTAGATTTTTTACCGGAAAAGCATGGCGTAATTTCGACGGACGCCAGCGTATTTTTGATATACCCACACTAGGAAACGCGCTTAACCAGGCAACTGGCGAAACCGGAAGATGAGTATCTACGGGTAGTATACCCTTGACAAGGTATAATGAAACAAATGACACAGAACTCTGCTGCACGAAAAATTTTTTAGCTTTCCGCAAATGTCTGTCAAATGCATTACATTACATGGGCCCAAACGTGTGGCACAGCCAACCGCTTTAACCAAATGGACTTTTTTCAAAAGGGATTGTACATCCTTTCTTACTTTTTATGCTCTTTAATGTCGTGATCGATTTAATAGAGAACTACGATTTTTCAAATGTGAATTATGAATATTAGCGGACTTTGTTTAACTTGCAGCACTGGTCCAATTGACCCCGACTGCAGGATGCAAACAGACTGCCGTCGACACAGTGCCTGCCTGGCTTCAGTGCAATGCCGACTTAGCCGGGTCACATTTCTACCTCTTTACTCGATTCAGAGTTTGCTTGCGATTTCAATAAAAAAAATTACAGATTTAGATTCAGCGCAAAATTTTATTGTGTTTTCCTGTCTTCGAAACGTTTGTAACTTTTTTCAGAAGGTCACAGTGTTACGCTTACACTATCCGTAAGACGTAATGAATATCGGGTTTTAGCCACTTTAATAATACTCAGCTAAGAACTAACAAATAACAAGAAAACATGAGCTTATATAACGGCCTAAGCCGGAAATAACAGGACATCCAGGGAAACGACCTAATATCAGACAATCACTCATTGTCAGTACATCTGGCTCACAAGGGCATGAGAAAGGCAAAAACATGGACTATGACCATAGGATAAACGCACACATGACCATAGGTACATGACCATAGGGAAAAACATATATGACCATAGGTTACATTACTACATGAGTAATCCGGTTATGTAACATTGCCCCCTTCCCAGACGTCGCAGGTCCCTCAAGACGTTAAGTCCGGTTATTCGTACGATGCAGCGGAATGAAAATCCGTCCCTCCTCCTTGTCCGGTGGGTTAATCGCTTCATAGCCGGGATCCTCAGGAGCGCTGACGTAAGTTACCGGTTCCGCTACCACAGTCGAGCGTCGATGTCTCCGTTCGACCAAGCGATTCGAAATCCGCTTCCCGCATCCAGCTATCGGTCCACGACACTGAAATAGTACCAGCACAATCAGCACTAGCACTACGACCGTAGTGATCGACCCGAACATCGTTTTGAACCAACGTATCTTAGACATTAGATCGGGTACGCTTGCTGACTGCTGCACGTTCTGGACGAACGATTCCACGTTCTCCACCCCGTTATGTTCCATCGCACCGGCCAACTGACCCAGCAATTGGAACGTCATCGCATGCTCCTTCTCGGCGGCTGCCTCCAGCAAAGCCCCAGAAAGGTCAACAGTCTCCTGGAAAGGCGCGAGTAACAGCTGTCGGTCAGCATACTGCACCGGCTGCACTGGTCGCCAATCTCCGTCTCTCCAGACGTGAGGAATCCCACGGAAGTTCACCGTATGCGATTGCCAGTAGCACTCTTGCCACTTAATCGCCGTGAATCCGTCGCGAGAAATCGTGAAGTTTCCTGAACGAGGTTGTACGCCGCAGTAGACGGTGTTCTGCGCTTCGAACGTCAGGTTGAACGGTCGGCACTGTCGTAAAATGCCCATGCTCCCGAAGCTCTCCAAGCTTTGACACTCTGTAAAGTGCATAGCACGCGCAGCCAAAATCCCGCTCACTTTCGACAGTGAATGAAGATTTTCGATTTTAAGTCTACTTAACCGACAGTCGACGGCGTTAACAGCTTCCGCAATGTGGTTCTCCTGCTCCACCACCGAGTCCATAATCCGTTGCAGATGCTCCGGTAGATACTGTTGTAGCGTCATTGGGGGTTCAGTGGTTGCGCCTTCCGCCTCCGGCGTCTTCCTTCCGACAGTTGTAGTAGCCACTGTCACGGGCAACGGCATTATGGTGCGCGACGATCCCGACGGAAATCCGGGATGTGTTCCACCCGCGAATCCCAGCAAGTTCCTTTTGCCTCTAAATGCCGAATCTTTGCCTCCCCCTCCCGAGGCACTGCCTCCGGCGGTGTAGTTGAAATCCTGGAACAGGATCTTCTCCGCACGCGTCAGCACCACCAGCAGCATACTCGTTTCACCGACAACACGGAATGCCTTCGTTCCGGTCTGTCCACACAAGCGCGCCATTGCGCCTAGAACAAAATCCATTTGCCGCGCAGTATCGCGGATTCTCATCACACCGTTTGTATCGTTATACAATTGACCGACTCGCCTGGTCAGCCGAGCCGTCTCGCACGGTCTCTGCGTTTGCGAAATGTCGTTCCATACCACGGTCCGGTGTGCCAGAATCGCGTAGCCTACGGTGCGATCCGTCGCTACCTCACCGACGATACTCATAATCGGGCACGTTTTGCACTCCTGCTCCAAGGTCAACTCCTCGAGCTCACAGTTGTATGTAGTGTACGTCTTCGTAGAGTACCAGGCTCCTTCGCCCTTCGGCTCTGCTGTAAAAGACCAGACACTACCACGCTTCACCATCGAATTCACACCGCATTTGAACGTGTTAGCCATGACCCAACAATCTCCCGCTGCTAACGGCTTCTCCTTGGAGGACTTCGTCGTGTCCCTCCAGCCCAGAAATCCTTCCTCGATGTGCAAGGTCTCCTCCCAGGCCCGACAGCTGAAGCCTTTGAACACGGTCCGGGCTTTATCTTCTGTATAGATGTCATACTTGACCGGGGTGAACTTGACGGACGACATGTTGGTCCGGCATTGCTCGTAGCGCTCAAAACTGACGACACCGACATGTCGTGGTGAAGAACAGTCGCAGACAGCCACCTCCAGTGCTGCTACTAAGGGCATAAACAACAACACCAACAGCAGCAAGCCGTAAAAGTGCTTGTATGAGCATGGGTCATACCGGTCCGGTGCCCTGCGCTCACGACCCGAACGCCGCCGTTCCGTTTCCGAGTTTTCCCGAGTCACCGGCGCGCACATCTCCGCCTCCGCCGTGGTCACTACCTCAGTCACCACAGGGGCTTGTACCGCTGGCACCACAGGGGCCGCAATTTCAGGGGCGCCCATCAGGGTGGTAGACGGCTCCTCTTCCGCCACCGTGTCCGTGACCTCGTCGTGGTCCACCAGTTGCTTGGGACGCGCGACAGGAATCCATCCTTCGCCGTCCTCATCCTCGGAGTCAACGAACATCTCGTTGCGATCCTTGAACAACTTCATCTTCGACACGTGGGTAACGAAAACGTTCCTTCGCTTCCGGATCCCGCAAGTTTCCACTTCGTAATTCACGGGCGACGTTTGCCTAAGCACTCGGTAGGGCCCATAAAAACGACTCAGTAACTTGGTCGCCTTACCGCGCTTTCCGGCAGGGTTGAACACCAAAACGTAATCCCCGTCTTTGTACGTCACTTCCGGGTGATCGTCGTGAGCATAGAGGTAGTTCTGCTTTCCCTCAATGCGCGCATTCGCCTTTGCGTGGAGCGCCTCCATCCGCTCTCCGACATCGTACACGAACGCATCCGCTACTGTTGGGAACGCGATGTCGACCGGCAGCGTCTGCTCCCGCCCGTACAGTAACTTGAATGGCGACTCTTTCGTGGTGTCATGCTTGCTGGTGTTTGTCGCAAACACCACAAACGGCAGCACCTCGTCCCAGGTGCGCTGCTCAGCGTCTATGAACTTCGACATCATATGCGCTAGCGTCTGATTGTACCTTTCGCACGAGCCGTTGGTTTGTGGCATATATCCGCTTGTCGTAACGCGCTTCACTTCCAGTACCTTGTAAAGGTCACTGGTCAGCTGGTTGACAAACGGTGTCACCTGATCGCTCAAGATCCTCAAAGGAAACGAATGCTGCAGAAACACTTCAAAAACCAAGAATTTCGCCACCGTCATCGCACTCTGCACCGGAAATGCGCCTGCCAATACATATTTAGTGAAAAGGTCAGTCACTACCAATATATATTGGTTTCCACGCTTGGATCTGGGCAACGGCCCCAGAAAATCCATGGCTAACATCTCGAACGGCCGCTCCGGACAGAACGACTGGATCGGTCCGGCCGCCTTCGTCGTCAACCGGTTCCGCGCCTGGCACGGTGCACAAGACGCCACATACTGCTCCGTAAAGTTGATCGCTTGAGGCCAGAAGAAGCGCTTCCGCACTCGGTCCCAGGTCCGGGCAAAACCGAGATGTCCTCCCATCGGGTCATCATGGCAGAACGCCAGCACCTCAAAACGTAACGCTTTCGGAACGGCTAACAGTAAATGTTTGTCACCTTGACTCTTCCACTCGCGATAGAGCAACCCGTCCTTCACGGCGTACACCTTCTGAACGCTCTTGACCGAGTCCATCTGCTCCATCACCTCCTGAATCCAAGGGTCAGTGGACTGTGCATCCAACATTGCTTGCGTGGTGGGGCCCGTCTCCTCACGTACCGCCATCACCGCCAGCACACCGGTTTCCGTAGCCGGTGGGTATCGAGACAGACAGTCTCCATCGGCATGCTTCGCTCCGCTCTTGTGTCGAATCACCAGGTCGAACTCCTGGAGTCTAAGTGCCCAACGGACCAAGCGACCACTGGGAGACTGAATGTTCACCAACCAACACAAACTATGGTGGTCAGTGATGACCGTCACAACACGACCTAACAGATAGTAGCGAAACTTATCTGCGGTCCAGACGATACCCAAACACTCCCGCTCCGTGGTGCTGTAGTTCCGCTCCGCGGCGTTCAAGCGGCGGCTCCCATAAGCCAGCACACGCAAGACACCGTCGCAATCCTGCTGCAGAATGACCACTCCGATGGCGTATCCACTGGCGTCCGGGTGGATCTCCACCGGTCGCGATACGTCAAAGTGTCCAAGCACCGGCGACGAGACGAGACGGTTCTTCAACGCCTCGAATGCCCCCACCTGCAGCTGTTCCCAGACGAACGGCACGTCCTTCTTCGTTAGCTCGTACAGCGGACAGGCCAGCGCCGCATAGTCTTTGATGAAGCGCCGGTAATACCCGGTTAGACCGAGAAACGCACGTACGGCTTTAAGATTTGCGGGAACCGGAAAATCTGTAATGGCACGTACCTTTTCAGGGTCGGCCAACACGCCTTCCCGCGTTACCGTGAATCCCAGTACGTTGACTGTCGCTTTTAGAAAGTGACACTTCTCCGGTTTGAACATTAACTCGATCTCCCGACAACGAGAAAACAGCGCCTCCAATACTTCTTCATGCTCCTCCAACGTAAACGTCGCGATGATCACATCATCCAAGTAGACCGCAACGACGCCCCGCACGATGAAGTCCCCCACGATTGTTGTCATGGTACGCTGGAAGTATGATGGAGCGTTCTTGAGCCCAAAGCACAGTACCTCGTACTCGTAGAACCCCATTGGCGACTGGAAGGCTGTCAACGGCTTCGACTCCTCCGCTAATGGCATCTGCCAGTAGCCGGAAACCAAGTCCAACGTGGAGATATACCGTTTGCCAGACAACGCCTACAAACAATCGTCCACACGCGGCAGAGGGTACTTATCAGAAATCGTTGTACTGTTAACACCCCTGACGTCATTGCACAAGCGCCAGCTGCGCCCATGATCCTTTCGCGCTAAGACAATGGGACTAGAACAGTCGCTGCGGGACGGTCTAATCACCCCTTTGTCAATCATAGCGCTAATTTGCCGGTTAATCTCCGCGACTTCCGGCGGTGCATACCGGTACTGATTCCGAAACTTCGGCTTCGTACCCGGCATCAGGTCAATACGGAACGGCTCTACCTTAGCCTGACCCATTTTACGACCCTCGGTATGAAAAAGGTCACCGTACTTCTCAATCAACTTAGTTATCCGACTCACCCCGTCGGTAGTATCAGCATCCCCAATGTCAAAATCCGAAACGGGACGGCGTGGCCAATCGTACTCCCACATCGCCAGCTCATCCTCCGGAGCATCTGGATCGCCATACTTCATAAGCTGATTCACCCGTGGCGTCGTCAGCATGGATCCCTGATCCGCGGTCATCCGGGCGCACAGGGCCGCCGCCGGCATCATGACCGCCTCCCGGGCGTGGCCGCAGGTATCCGTCACCACCGTGTCACCACATCCCCCATGCGTGACCGTGGTACCATCCTGTCCCACGTACAAGAGCGCCGCATTGCACACATCCACCAGCCATCCGGGTTGGCGCAGGAAGTTGCATCCCAGCACGCACTCGTATCCCTCGTTGCTGACATTGTCAAAAACACAAAAAGCCACCGGCAGCTTCTGGTTTGCTACCGCAACATCGAGTACGATCTTACCCGTTGTACGGATCGTACTACCATCACCCAGTTCCACCGGCATCATCAGTGGATCCGGCATGACATCCAGCTTCCGCTCCAAGAAGCCTCGATTCACAACGGAGAGGTTGGCACCAGTGTCCACCAAGGCACGTGCAGCCTGTCCATTCAATGTCACATCCACGCACATGTGCGTTCCGAGCACAGCGTGACGACCTTCGCACCCATCGCCAGACGTACGCATCATCGTGTACAGAGGGCGCTTTCGTGGAATCTTCTCCCACAGTCCGAAGGAGTCCTTGCCAATCTCATACTTGTATGGTAACAAATCACCGTCCCGAAGCGGACGCAACGTCTTACCGCAATGAAATTGGACATCCACATCGATCAATTCATCTGCATCCTCCGCTTTGACTAGCAGTAAATTATTAGCTTGCACACCGACACTGACTGTACTGACCGTTTGTATGCCGGCGTCCGTTTGCGTGCTTGCATGCCGTGCGTCTCCGTTAACAGTAGCAGTGCTGTCAGCTGATCCACGCCGATTGCGCGGTTCACAGACTGAGTCGGCATAAATGCTGATGGTATCGCTAGAATCATCCGATGACTGACCTTCGTCCTCCATTTCGGCCTGATACACGCGCAGCTCATGCGCCGCAGTAGTGTCCAAAGGTCGGCTTCGGAATGGCGTGCATTCAATACAGCCGGGACACGTACCTGCTGACAACGCAACCGGGTATCCGTCTACCATACGGTACACATACCCGCACGCCGTTGCCCCATACGCCGCACAGCCGGCATCCGCCCCGGACATAGCGGCCAGCGTGGCTGCCGCTTCCAGTGTCTGGTCGTCCGTGCCTGTACGGTCCAATGCACTTCCGCGCATCATCCGGAGTCCCGCCCTCGGCGCAGCTCCCTTGGCATCCTTTGCCCGCTTCGGACAATCCCGAAGCATGTGATCCGTTGATCCGCAGTTCCAGCAGGACTTATCTTTACGTGGTGTGGTCAAGGCGTTTCCGGTGCGTGCCGGTTTCGATGCGTCGCTGTGGTTGGAATCAGCAGCGGTTAACTTAGAATGAAATTCTGGCTTACCGCCACTTCGACGGAAATGGTTGTTGGCACGCTGATCCGCCGCCTGCTGTCGCTGGTTGGCTTGCTCCTCTCGCCGCAAGGACTGCGCCGCCTTCTGCAGGTCCGCGAAGAATCCCTGAGGCGTCTTGGCTGCGGAGGTGACGAGCATCTTGTCGATCTCCGGGTAAAGTCCGTTCCGCAGCTTCAGCAGGACATCCAAATCGTCCATTTTGGTGTCGTATTCGTAACATAGGTCAACCATGTCGTTATAATAGTCTTCAACGGATTCGTTCTTTTGTAACTTACGTTGACTGATCCTCAGCTTCAACTGCAACTTCCAATCTTCCGTGAGGAAGCGTGCCAGGAGGGCGTCCTTGAAGGCCTTCCACGTCGTGTAGGGTTTCATCCCGTCCTCCGACACATTGTTGTACCACTGACCCGCGTGGCCAGTCAAGTACACAGGGACTTGCGTCAGTTGCTTCGCATCGTCCCACTCCAACGCCTGCGCAACCGTCCGGAACCTACGAACCCACTGCGCAACGTTCTCACCGGCTTTCCCGGTGAACACCGGCGGTCGCACGTCCGTCGCCACGGCTAGCGATCCCATCACGTCCGCCAACTCTCGGGCATTCACAGAGAATGCCGGAGCCTGCCGTCCACCTGATACGTCCGGCTTCGACATCGTAGTTTCCCCAGTCGGCAAGTCGTCCACAACCGGTTTATCTTCGTCGTCAGAAAATAAGTTGCCCAGGGAGTCAATCTCCCCCTTTACTGACATAAGACTACCACCACGAAACGAACGTACTAAAGGTCGCGGTATCAAAAAGGTTTTCGGCACCAAATGTTACGCTTACACTATCCGTAAGACGTAATGAATATCGGGTTTTAGCCACTTTAATAATACTCAGCTAAGAACTAACAAATAACAAGAAAACATGAGCTTATATAACGGCCTAAGCCGGAAATAACAGGACATCCAGGGAAACGACCTAATATCAGACAATCACTCATTGTCAGTACATCTGGCTCACAAGAGCATGAGAAAGGCAAAAACATGGACTATGACCATAGGATAAACGCACACATGACCATAGGTACATGACCATAGGGAAAAACATATATGACCATAGGTTACATTACTACATGAGTAATCCGGTTATGTAACAACAGCCACACGTTCGCGACTTAATCGTTTTGGTCAATGTATTTCTTTTGCCTTTCCAGAGATGTTGACGAGGTAGGACGCCAGAAAATGTACCGAATTTTTCCACATTTCCGTACCAGAGTTTGCCCTTTAAACCTTACCCGAGGGTTTGCAATTTAAGAAGACCAACTAGCACGGGTTGACCAGGTCATAGGCGAGAATGAAATGCATTAGTTAATTACACGAACAGCATTAATACCGGCTGCCGATTTAACGCGCGCGTAATAATTGGGAATCGCGATAAGCTCTTCAGTAACGTAATGGATCCGGTAACTTATCACGCCTTGCAGTGGCCATTATTTGGTAAAGGTAAAGAACAGTACAGTGCAGATGACAATACCAATAGCGACGACGACAAGTCGGTTGCTCGCACCAGCTAGGATTACCAGCACTATTGGTACGAGGCAAACGGCAACTCTTTCCCATCGCTTTAGTAAATTACATTACTTTCCCTGCTGCATTTTACCCGTATGCAGGCGCTCACGTGATCCTTAATGCTACCGTGTTCATTCTCCATCAGAGCTTACCTGTGAGCCGCTGATAAAATCTCGGCTACCGTACTCTTCTCTGTACTCTTAATCAGTTGCATAATCAGCTATAGCCGCAAAGCCGGTCTATAAGTGAAACGGCTGAAATCAAGAATCACGTGTGCGCCCACACACGGTGAAGATGCAGCAGGGAAAGTGATGTAATTTACTAAAGCGATGGGAAAGTGTTGCCGCTTGCCTCGCACTGCACACTGGATACAGCATCACATTGCACACTGGATACTGTCAATATAACACAGTATATAACACAGTAACGTACCATGATGCAATCGTGTTTGTACCAGTACAGTATCGATCTGCGGCTTATATAATTATTGAGTTATCGTCGTCGTTGCCTATAATGCACCACGATGAAAGCGTGCTTGTATTATTTCGCTAATTCACTAATTCACATTTCCAGCACCAATATTGTGTAGATTTGCTATTTGTTTACAGTGCATTACACGGCACATCAATAAATAAAGCATTTTACAATGCATGCACTGATCTGATACAACGACGACATAATAATAAAATTTCTTAGCGCTTAAGAAAGTACACAAAACAATGGTGCATGGACCAAAAGAGCACTTGCATGCACCAATGGTGCAAATGCATGCACCATTGGTACGGATGTTTACTGGTGCCCATTATTTTGTCAAAATCGCTGTATGTACGGTGGCGGCGGTGTGGTTGTACGTGTGTAACCGTCCCAAACGACCGGTCGCCTGAGACGACCGCCGGTCGTTTCAGCCTCTAAACCGTCCGAAACGACCGGGGGCCGCCAAAACGACCGCCGTAAATTTTGCCCTACCAGTTTTTTCCGCTCTTTCAGTCGCAAAAAAAACGAATGAATGTAATTTCGCATCCGGTCGTTTCTGCCGGAGTGCAATTTCGTGTCCGGTCGTTCCTGCCAGAGAGTAATTTTGTTTCTGCCGAAGTGTAATATCGTGTCCGGTCATTCCTGCCGGAGTGTAATTTCGTATCCGGTCATTCCTGCCGGAGTGTAATTTCGTGTCCGGTCATTCCTGCCGGAGTGTAATTTCGTATCCGGTCATTCCTGCCGGAGTGTAATTTCGTGTCCGGTCATTCCTGCCGGAGTGTAATTTCGTATCCGGTCGTTCCTGCCGGAGTGTAACTTCGGATCCGGTCATTCCTGCCGGAGTGTAATTTCGTGTCCGGTCATTCCTGCCGGAGTGTAATTTCGTATCCGGTCGTTCCTGCCGGAGTGTAATTTCGTATCCGGTCATTCCTGCCGGATTGTAATTTCGTGTCCGGTCATTCCTGCCGGAGTGTAATTTCGTATCCGGTCGTTCCTGCCGGAGTGTAATTTAGTATCCGGTCGTTTCTGCCGGAGTGCAATTTCGTGTCCGGTCGTTTCTGCCAGAGAGTAATTTTGTTTCTGCAGAAGTGCAATTTCGTGTCCGGTCATTCCTGCCGGAGTGTAATTTCGTATCCGGTCATTCCTGCCGGAGTGTAATTTCGTGTCCGGTCATTCCTGCCGGAGTGTAATTTCGTATCCGGTCGTTCCTGCCGGAGTGTAACTTCGTATCCGGTCATTCCTGCCGGAGTGTAATTTCGTGTCCGGTCATTCCTGCCGGAGTGTAATTTCGTATCCGGTCGTTCCTGCCGGAGTGTAATTTCGTATCCGGTCATTCCTGCCGGATTGTAATTTCGTGTCCGGTCATTCCTGCCGGAGTGTAATTTCGTGTCCGGTCGTTCCTGCCGGAGTGTAATTTCGTATCCGGTCATTCCTGCCGGAGTGTGATTTCGTGTCCGGTCATTCCTGCCGGAGTGTAATTTCGTATCCGGTCGTTCCTGCCGGAGTGTAATTTCGTATCCGGTCATTCCTGCCGGAGTGTAATTTCGTGTCCGGTCATTCCTGCCGGAGTGTAATTTCGTATCCGGTCGTTTCTGCCGGAGTGCAATTTCGTGTCCGGTCGTTCCTGCCAGAGAGTAATTTTGTTTCTGCCGGAGTGTAATTTCGTATCCGGTCGTTCCTGCCGGAGTGTAATTTAGTATCCGGTCGTTTCTGCCGGAGTGCAATTTCGTGTCCGGTCGTTTCTGCCAGAGAGTAATTTTGTTTCTGCAGAAGTGCAATATCGTGTCCGGTCGTTCCTGCCGGAGTGTAATTTCGTATCCGGTCGTTCCTGCCAGAGTGTAATTTCGTATCCGGTCTTTTCTGCCAGAGTGTAATTTCGTGTCCGGTCGTTCCTGCCGGAGTGTAATTTCGTATCCGGTCGTTTCTGCTGGAGTGCAATTTCGTGTCCGGTCGTGTGTAATTTCGTATCCGGTCGTTCCTGCCGGAGTGTAATTTCGTATACGGTCGTTATTGCCGGAGTCTAATTTCGTATCCGGTCGTTATTGCCAGAGTGTAATTTCGTATCCGTAGTCGTCTGCGTCGGTCGTGCTGCATAAAAATTTTGCTTAAAGGTCATGTAAGCTGCACATCCAAGATAAAACTGTACATTTTTAGAACTTATAAACCCAATAGGTGCAGCATCTAGCCACCCGCTGCCGGCGCACTCAGATCGACTAACCAGCGGAACTGAGCAGCCCAACCCACATGCACTGCCCTGCCGCGAAATAGCGCCCGAGTTACCGGAAGCACTTTTACCGCTGCCAGGTCAAAACAATAAAGTGTCGCTCGCATGCTGCAGTCGTTTGCTGGCAGGACTGGATGTCTTGAAGGAAATATTCACCGAGCAATGCACAAACGCGTTGGAGCTTGAGCTGTTGAGGGATTCACTCACAAATGCCGATCTTTTGGGTTTTCGTGGAGTGTTGCGATCGGACAGCGTTTTGAACAGTCTATCTTCCCTGCGGCCGACCAAGAAAAAAGAATTGCTGTTTTCGAAACTCGGAAATCTGGAAGCGGCAGTGATTAATTTTATCATCCCGAATCATGGTTTGTGTTGAAACAAAGACTGGCCACTGAAGCAACATTGTCAAAAACCGAGGAAAGTGAAAGTAAGCTTTATCTAAATTTCAAACTGATAATATCGTTTTGACGATATCATTCCATACCGTGTAAAACTGAATCTTTTTCGCAAAATCGCAATTAATACATTGAACTGTTTGATTAATAAATTGTACTATTTTGTTAATTCAGTGAAAAATAAAGTTGACGACTATGTCTGTTGATTACACCGACTTGATGGCAGTGGCTTTATAGAAAATGAGATGGACAGAAAAATACTGTGGACCGAGGTACATGAAAACTTGCTGCTTACGTATGAAGATTGGCTCGCGATACGTGAGAAATGCGGATCCGTTTCAGTTAATGTAATGAGAGCCGTTTGCTGGCTACTCAATCATTTACTTTCGGCTGCTTCAATGCTTCCGGATCCTGTCGATTTTCGAGAACCGAAAGAAGCAGGAAACAGCTATGCTGTTAACGCCATTGTCAAATTACGTAAACATGATTGCGATACTGGGTCCGCAAGCGAACGTCGCAGAACTCAGCTTTTGCGACTACCGGACAGTAGATGGATAATTGTATCAAACAATCATGGAGAGTCTCCAGGAATTGTTGACATTTACGACTTTTCGACACCTTACACGGACATCTTTGTGGAGTCAAAAATTGCGTCGTTTTTCCGGTTTACTCAAAGCGATGTTATGCAGTTACGCTGGAGAGACGTCTGCGCTGAGGATGATTTGGACGATTCGGGAATTTATGCGATCGCCTGCCTTACTGACACAGTTTATGGACTACGCCCGTCTGACAAGGAATATCTATCCAAGGTACGGTGACCTCGTTTTTTCTGTTGTAAGTCCTGTAAAAATTTTGTAACGCAGCCGCCCTGCATGAGTCATGCCTGTCGGCTGGCAGAAAAAGAGGTTAACGGCTTCACAGTTTATTGCCGAAGAAACCGCCCCAGTATTTGTGCCGTAATTAAGCAGAATAACAAAGCGCTATGAGAAACCTATCTAAAAAGTCCGAAAGCCTCTCTGCCGGCGGCGCGTTTAATGTGTAAATACATCTAATTTGTTCTCTGAACTGATGTTTGCATTCAGTGTATGTCAAAGGCAATGTTGAGCCTACCCATGTTAATGACAGGTTGCATTTAGAGCGTAATGGGTTTGCGGACAGGCAGAAAACGTTTGCGCATCAGAGGTGCGGGCGATAATTAATTTGCGCGTCGTTTGTGACCGTATGTAAATATTGATCCATTAGCGTTTATGACGGCTACTATCGCTTACTAAACCAGAGTGCCACGTCAAATTCTGTCATCTGTTGTTTGCGCTGTTTTCTCCCTCATTGTGAGCTACGCAATACATTGAATGTCCAGAAATTTTGCAGGCGATGAGGAATCATTTGGAAGCATGTCTGGAAAGCAAGAAACTGGTTCCTTTCCCAAGCAGAA